AGCTGTCACCTACCTGTAGGGCAGGGAAAAAGCTGGTTTAGGCCCAGTTTGGCTACATTCCTCTATTTTCTACTTACCCTGTTAAATGGCAACAGATTTTTGATTGTAAATTTTAGGGGGGAAATAGCATGTGGTTTATTGTTTCAGTGGTGGAGTTATAAACACGTATTACTGCTGAGAACCCCAGCTGCCTGGGAAGAAGTATTCTGGAAACTTTTCATTCTTATTAACTTTAAAAATCAGGTGCAATGAGCTCCAACCAAGAGTAGAGTCCATGCTCTCCATGGAAATCCACCAAGGAGTCTTTGCACAGCATGCTTCAAGGTATGACTCAGTTACATCTGCACTGACAGCTACAAGTGAGGCTGAGCCCACCCCCGAGCCAGATGTGTTCACATCCTGTACCACCTGTACCAGCCCCCAGAAGCTGAGGTCTGTGGAGGGGGTGACCAGGAGAACCAAGCAAACAAGCTCACGTGCCAATATTTTCATGCAGATCTAAAATTCAGTCCACCAGCATATTTACCAAGATCTGAACTTCTCAACACAAGTGTCTTCTGCCTGGGGTGACAACTGAACCTACACAGAAAACAAGGGGCCTAAGGAAGTGTAAACCAAATCTTAAGCCTGCTCCCCATCACGTGGGCAGAAGCCAGTTCAGAAAAAACACAGGGAACTTTTGTTCTGACCCAAGTAACCTTCTGGTACCACTCAGTCTCACAGGTGAATGGCTGGACCTTCCCCGTGCTCTTTACAACAATGTCCTGCCTATTTCACAGGGTGGAAATGTGCCTGTGTGTACTCTTCAAACCTGTCAAACTCTTCAAACTCTTTTCCTGAAGCCACCAAAGCATTGCTCTCCTTGTTCAGCATCTTACACGGCTATCACATACCACCATAGTCATTACAAAATCCCCCAAGAGACCTGCCCGTGCATCTCAGCTCCCTGTCTCTAGCTGTTATCTTGGAAGGTCCAGCCAAGTATCTCTCTTTGTAAAAATTTTTGAGACTTAATAGATTTGAGAAAATTATCTTAATGCTGAAGCCAGTGGAATAAAAAAAAAAACAAGCCACATGGGTCCACTATGGCTGCAGAAAGTCTAAGAGCCTTAGGCTTTGCCCAGCACCAAGACAGAAAGGGAAGTGCTGTCCCCACTGCGTCTCAGAAGATCCAGAACATCACCTTGAGCATGCTCAGTCCAAGATTTTTATCTTTCCTTGTAGGTCCTAGGCCAGCAGAGCAGCACAGCCTGTCCCAGCCCTCCCAGAGAGGCTGTGTGTGCAAGAGCAGGACCTGCTGGCACACAGAGTCTGCAGAGTGAAGCCAGCCTGACCCTGATGTTACACAGTCTTTGCAATAGCCAAGTGTTTCATTGCATTGTTTCATTTCATTACACTCTAAAGGAAAGGACAAAAGGTTCCCAGGACAGTAAATTTGTTTTGCTGCCTTAACAAAAAAAACCCTGAACCAACAAAACAACCAACCAAACAAAACCCCCTTATTTCTCAGGTCTAGTCACTTGAGACCTATGTCCTCCTGCCCTGCCCGTTCCTTCCCTGCTCAGTGGCTCCCAGGGCCTTTTCTCCAGACACACAATACGTTTGCTCTATAAAGGGAGCATTCTCCACGTACAGCTGTGGTGGGAGCAGCTCTCAGAGGCTCTGAAGCGCAGCCAACGTGCAGAAATATAAAACCCAGGAGGACTGAGCCTTGTTTCACCTGAGCCAGGTTTATCTTACACACAGCACTGTTCTCCAAGGGGGCTGACCATCTCCACTCAGACATAAAAAGCAGGCATTATTGACAAGATGTTGCTGGGCTCAAACCTCACCAGAGGCTCCTTATTTTGTGGGTGGTTTTTTAAACTCTATTTTGGTTAAAAAACACAAACACAAAACAAACTAATGCCCTGTGTTTTTGCAGTCTCCTCACAGCAGAAATTAAAATTGTCTTTTTTCTCTGGTTTAAGAGAGAGAATTTATGGATTAAAACACAACATGAAACAAATGACACATCACTCATGTGCTGTTGGTAGGTGCTCAGGTAGGACGATTTCAAGTGCTGAATAAAATGCCTGGAGAGAAGATAATACAGAAGGGATGAGTTCCACAGTGCTACAGTCATCTGAGTGAAGACTACACACCCCTGGCAGCAGGGTGTAAGCAAGAGCTGCACTAGACTCCCTGTAACCCCCAACAATTTCATGGCAAATACACAGCCCTGTAAATTGAAATTCCCACAATTAAGATCACACATATAGTTTTTCCAAAGCAAGTTACAGGGGCACCCTGGAAATTCCAGGACAGTAGACAAGGGGACTGTATCTCACAACATTATTCCAAAACTTGAGCTATAAGGAAGGCAGTGTGCTCAGCTGGCATTTAGGAAGCACACCACATCTACATTCTGCTGCCGTTCTTCATGGCCAGCTGCTTTGAGGTGGGATCAGAAGCATTAGCCCCACCTAAAAGAACCTAAATCTGATCAAACTGTTATAATGGTGCTCCTCAAGGGTTGGTGCAGCAGAGAGTGAATGACATCTGCAATGCTCTTCCTTTTCCTCAACCCTAAGAAGTATTCAAAATTGGTTTAGCTGTCAGGCTTAGGCTAAAAAGACAGAAGCACTAAACTAACTCACTCTAGTAGAGAATTACAGTGTGTGTCCTGAAATATGACACAGCACAGTTTCCTTCTCCCCTTTGGTTTCTATCAATAATCTGTGCCTAGAATAAAATACAGAATCATTAAGGACTGGGAAGAGACAGGATGTAAAGCATGCATTCTAGCAGGGGATGGTACTGACATCCAAAAAAAAGGAGTTGGAGGTTTTTTAATTAAAATAAACATAATTTCTTCACTGTTGTTTCTTGAGGAAACTAAGAACTACTAACTGTTTCTAAACTGTGTATTCACCTGAGCAACTGGCAGTAAGGCTTCTGTTTGAAGCAGCTTCTGTTTCTGGCCAGTTGCTGCAATAGCCCCTTTGCCAGCACCCCTCATGTGTGCAACCTCACAGTTCAGTGACTGACACAATGCTCTCTCTTCTCAGCTTGGTGCATGATATGCAGGTGTAAGCTCACTATATGGCTAAGAAAATGGGATATAGAGACACCTGATTTGCTACCTGTGACTAGCTTTTATGAGGCTTCTCCAAGCTTAACATCCTGCTCTTGGCCACTTGTGTCTTGTCTTCTTCACTTCTACCTCTTCTTAATTATTGTCTCTTCATGCTCTGTTCATGCACCCATGAGAAGCCCCAGCCTGAATCATACTCCTATTGATGCTGTCTACATCCAGCCCGTTGATGGGACCATGGTGGTTTTTGTCCTTTGTTGTCCTGTCAGGGCAATTTTTTTAAGAGCTTCATTCAGATAAACAAAGTCTATTCTGCTTTCACTGCCTGGCTTTGATGTGCCAAACCTTGAGCTCTCTCCATGTCCTAAACCAAAGCGATTGGAGCATGCAAGACTGATTTTCACAGTTTTCTACTCCTGGTTCCACAGTCAGAAGAATATATTGCAACAGGTTCATGCAACAAACTGACCTGGTTTTGTTTCTCTTGAGGTCTGCACTGATCTCTTCAGATTAAACATGTCTCAACTAAGTGATTCACTCCTCTGGCTAGCTAAATTCAAACTGTCTTCTTTAAGGTCTGCAATCTAAACAATACATTTATTGTCACAGCTACATGAACATGAGTTAAAACTTTACATTCTGAAAACAGCTACACAACGTTGCTGGTTTATGTGGTTTTGGCAAGAACAGTGCACTTTTTCTCTTCAAGCACTGCCACCTCGTGCTCCCAAACACGGCTGCTGCACTAACAATTAGCAGGTCAGGCCAGTATCACTGTGAGGAGTTTACAGAAAGCCATTCCTAGGCACAGGCAGGGAAAGATTCCTAATAAGGCAGCCAAAGCTCCCCTGTGCAATGGGATGATGCTCAGACACCACATCAGGCCAAGTGCATGGAGCACCTACAGAATCCTCTATGCAACAGAGCTCAGTTCTGCCAAAGTTCTTTGGTATTTCATGCTCCTCCTGCCTGTGGACTCCCCTTTGTATCTGACTCCCTCAAGTCTCTAGATGCAAACATTCACACTGTGGGTTGTTCCCCCAGAACCACCCAAGCTACTGGCAACACAGTGAGAGGACAAGCTATTGTCCCAACCCAACTTAAAAGGATCAAGGAGAATGAGTCCTCCTCCCTAAACAGAAGCAGCAAGGGGCAAGGATGATCATTACTGGTTCCCACCCTCTGTCCTGTTTGGGTCTCAGTGCCAAGCTTGCTCTCTCAAAGCACCTGCAAAACCCTTTTCTTCATCTTTTCCAGTGAGTTAAAAGGAAAACAGAGGGATGGGACAATTACATGTCTTTATATCCAGCCCTGTGCTCAAAAATCTATCCTAGACTCTGTAAATGATGAACAGAGCAACGTGCTGGTGGGAGAACAGCACATCATTCTGAAAGACTGATGCACTAACCAAGTATTATCCATTGACAACTTCTTTAAATGACCTTCAAATAAAGTATACACAACCAATCAAACCAGCTTGTCAGCAATGCACTGAGAGTCTCTCCCTGCCTACCAAACCAGGTTCAGACAGTTTTCTCTGCATCATTCATAATTTCCTCTCACCTTAAAGAGTGAAACACTAAAAAAACTTAAAATAAAATTTTAAAAAAAACCCAAACATAAAAATCACACAACACAAGACTGCTCCCACTCTTCTTTAACCAGTTAAAAAAAAAAGCTAGAGCAGAAGATAAGATTTCTGGCATGTTGGGGAGTAAAATTCAGACCGCATACCGCAGATCAGTGGTGAGATATCCCCTGTTATTTTTCAGATATTCAGGCAAATATCTTCACATGCACAGGTTGGTACATACTTGGTGATTCTTGGATAAGCCCATAATTGTCATAATCAAGTTAGATAAGTTACCATGGAAAGCCTTTGCAAAATGTACAACTTGTATTTCTATCATTAAAGAAGACTTACCTTTAAGGACTCCCAGAGGGGAAATTGCACCAGAGAGAAAGGAATCTGGAGAGGTAGAAAAAGACAAAAACCCAACAATATAATGTTACAAAAGCAAATTAGGTTGGCATGTTCCTCAGCTGACTAAATTGGGAACAGTTATTGTTCACTCGGTGAACTGCAGCTTATTACATTTACAAATCTTTATGGACACTTTATGCATGCTGCCATTAAGTGACTGGTTTCACTAAAGCAGTTTTACTTTGTTTATCACATTCCCTGCTGAGAGGTTAATGTATTGTTACCAGGGTGGCCTACAAGAGCAATAAGCAGCATGATCTAGTGCAGGGACGTTCATGATTTGATGCTTGGCCAAGAAAGTTGTAAGGATGGTTCAAGAAACACGTTCCCAAGGCCAGGAACACAGCTTGGCAAAAAAATATCTTCAGCAATGCACACTCTCACAAATGCTGAGCTAAGAACAGTTGTGCTTCAACAAGGGCTTTGCAGTTGGGTGTCAGCTGCACAAACTTTCCTGAACATCTCCCAGTGATCTCACATTAACAAGCTCCCTTGAGAATTAAAAGCAGGTTGTGAGGAGCTACCACAACCCAACTAAAATGCAATAGAGAAGCTTGGTGGTTCCCTTCTCATGACCTCTAGTGAGAGGTTCTTCTGTGCAGCAACAGTCTGTATCTCTGCCTAGGCTCATCCTCCACCCAGTTCTTTCAGCTCTTTCTCTTCCTTCCTTCCTTTGACTCTGTCCAATATCCTCCTCTGGTACCAACCCTGCCTCTTCTATCTCCAGACCAAGTATCTATCTCAAAACATCTCAAAGTAAAAGGTCCTTATGAAAATACTGTCCTGTGCTAGAACTGCCCTGCAGCTGTATCTGCATGTCTGCCTTGCCCCTTCCTGAACACTTCTGCAGGTATCTCCTCCACCTCAACAGCCAGAAGCCCCAGTTCCAAGTCCTCTTCCAGGTGTCTGTTTTCCTCTCCTACTCTTATCTCCCTTCCCAAAACACAATGCATGTTGGGTTAGTTTTCCCCCTTGTTTAGGCTGATTTTGCAGTTTGTGCATTAGTTTATTAGTGTCAGAAAGCACGTGTGCACCTTTTGCCATGAAAAGGAGTAGACATTCAAAATGGGTCACGCTTCATGAATATGTAAATCTTCACTTTTTGTGACATGAGTCATGTCAGGTTAAAAACTTTCACTACAGAGATATCAATGGCTTATTAAAGCCAAATTCAACCTACATAAAGGAAGCTGAAAAGGTACATTCATTCAACATCAGAAGAGTTAGAGTATTGTCTGCTTCACTGTGTTGCAGCTAATGATTAATAAATGAGTCTATTAAGTTAATCTACCAGGCAAAACTAAGCTTGACAGACACCTGCCACAGAAAATTTGTTATCTATTCAGGCAGGAAATGGCAGTGAGAAGAAATCAATGTCACTGCTGGACATTCAGCTGACAAACTGAAATCTCAGAGGAAGTTTGTCATCTTGAACAATGAGCAATATCCCTGGTGGCATCTCCAAGTCCCACAAGAAAGGTCAGACATGGCTCTTATTTATCAGGGCCTTGAAACTCTAGTGTAGCAATTAAATTTCATTTTTAATACAGGGTGAAAAAGTCCAGTTATTTGACAGTAATGTGTGGCAATATATTTATGAGAAGATACATGTCCACATGCTGCTGCACCATTGCTGAATTGGAGTTAAATGGCATGATTTCTTTGCATTGTAAAATGAAAAGCAACATAATCTTTGATTATGTAGGCCAAAAAAATAGGAAAAGAAACAATAACCCCTACATTTGCTTCAAATTTGTTAAAAAAAAAAAAAAGAGGCACCCTGTATCCAGCTGTACACCAAACAAAACAAGCTTTCTAATACAGTTTCCAAGTTCTGCTATTTTATGCTTGTGAATGAGTGATAAAATTATGCAGCTGTTAATAAGACAACAAGGGAAGCTTTTGACATAAGCCCCTCTTTAGCTCCTCGCTAGAAGCGTTTCAATCAAAGAGGAAATTTGTGCAGGAGTGCCGTTTGATTTTCGGCCTGAGTGGGGTTTGCTTTCCCCGTCCCGCTCCGCAGGGACCAGAGCTGGATGGGGATTATCCGTCTCATTTTCCCCCTGTGCCCCAGGAGATGCTGTGACGTGCAGGCTTCCAAAAAGCCTGGGAAGATTTTGGATCAGTCAGGCGGACTTCACGGCCTCAGGGCTCCCTCCTTTCTAAAGTGCCTGCAGGGTAAGGGCCTAAACGCTGGGAGTTTGACGCACAGCAGAATCTGAAAACTTGCAAAACCCAAAAAAAATAGGAAGCACCACCCACAAAAAGGAGCAGAGCTGAACCTTTGCCCACACTAAGATGGTCCTAATGAGATGTCCTCCATTTCTTACAGCTATCCACTGGAGCCCATTTGACAACATCCAAACTTCAAAACAAAACCCACACAAGCAATTCACGGGTACTGGAATGAAAGGGAGTCTGGCTTCCTGCAGATTTGGATTTCGTCATCAGATTCTCTGAAGCCAAATAATTTCCAAGCTGAGTTCAGTGATCTTCCCACAACAGGGACCTCCACCACATTTCCTCTCAACATTTATCCCCTGTTGAAAGTTCAGTTCCTACTGCAAGCCTCCCTTCAAACTCCTTAATCACCTTTATTCTCCCCTTACACAGGTATTTTCAAGACCTTACAGGAACTTCTATTTACCTCTGCAGCCTTTGCCTTTCCACCACATTTCCATGCCCAATATGTCCAAGGGTTGCTCAGGCTGCTGGGCATTCGTGTGCACGCACCCTGTTTGCCCAAGACTCGCTTCCCTGCGAGACCAAACAGCCCACACTGAAAAGCAGGATTAATATATGCAAAAACAAGTAGTAAGGGTAACTCAACCCACAATGAAAAGGCCTTTAGATGGCTTATTTATTTACTTAAGCCCTTTATTCCTCTACCATGACAGACGTGACTAAATCTCGCAGTCTGGGGACAATTCTTAATTGGAGCACTTATGGCATTTCATTCCTTTTCATATTTTGCTTTTTAAAAGGAAAGCTCTTCAGCAATGAACAGAATCATACCCTGCCAGGCAGTGATATTTATGCCTGAAATAGGCTAAGGCAACAATAAAAATGTGGTCCACACATGTGGGTAGCTTTCTGCCAGCAAATATGAAACCCTGGTGAGGCGAGCTCCACCAGCCTCTCATTCAACGTTAATATGAAATAGAGAGTACCCATTCTCATGTCTGCCCTAATGTTATATAACTGTGCTGGTTGTTCAACACAGTGAACTCTTACACACACAAAAAAAAGTTTAAAGCCCCCACAGCCAGCTGTAAATCATTAATTTTAAAATGTTTTATAGGTTAGTGAAATTATCATTTACTCTAGTCCCTGTAGTCCTTAGCATCTGATGCTTAACTTAATGTAATGAACATTGCAAATTCTTGTTTCTACAGATATAATTAAATCCCCTGATACAGAAGGATTTTAAAAGATTATTTTTATTAAGTCACTTCTAGAAATAGTTGTACTTCACAGCCAGAGCAACAGATACATGTCTCCACTTCTAAAAAAAATACCAACCTACAAGTACTGAAGATTGATGACAGAGCAAAAGTCCTCCCACCAAGTACTGTTTAATTAAAGACATTTAAGGAGGAGCTTAAAAATACTCTTTGTAACTACAAGACAACATTTTAAAGTCACTCAGAATTCACCTATTCAGTATTTGATACTAAATTGCAAGCTGACATTGTCCTGAAGGAAACACAGCAGTCAGGGAGCAAGGAGAGCACTTTGAAGGAGTGGCAAAGAAGGGGGGGAAAAGAACCAGGAGAAAAGAAAAAAAAAAAAAAAACAAACCAAAGCCTCATCAGCCCCTTCAGAACTGGGATTCCCTTCCAAATATGAGAATTCTTTCAGACAAAGAGGAAACAGATGTTCCTGGCTGGAATTTGCATGTGGCTTTATTCTCTTCTAGGATACAATAAAACTACTCTTCTTCTCATCCTCCGAGCTAGAAATTAAACAGTGGCATGTCATGCAGAGTCCAGCTGTGCTTTCTACCTCCAACCTTTATTAGCAATATATTTAAAAAGAAGAAAACAGAGAGACAGAAGGAAAGAGAGAAACTAGAAAAGCATAAGAAATGAAAAACTATGTGGTATGTGTTCTCAAAACAATATAAAACCTACAGATGTTCTTACTAATCTGTGGCACATGTTTGTTTATTCAGGTTTTCTCTGTCTCCAGTTCAACAGGCTTTGCTCTTCAGAAGAGTTATCTGTTTTCACAAAAGTTAGAGTAAATACTGAAGGAGAGAGTGGCATAAACAGCCAGGGGAAGAAGCAGGCAGGCTCACCTTGTAAGAGCTTTCTCAACATCCCTGAAACTGTACCTCCATCCCAGGACCTGCTCTCACCCATACCTCCACTGTTCCTCTCGTTAACAGCAATGGGAGAAAAGGCAACAGTTATGAAGAGGATTTTGACAGTACGAATATCACAAAAGCCAAGAGCAAGAACATCTGTTCCCTTCAGGAAGAACATACTGCAGTCACCATGGAGCAGTTCTCAAACGTGCACCTAACCTGGCACTTGCATGCACCTTGACAAGGCTCACAGAGATGCTGTCACAGCTGAAGAACTGTGTTTGTAAGGACTGGTTCACCAGTGTCTGAGCAGCAGGTGCCAAACTGTCCTTTCACCAGAGTCATTACAAAGAAAACTCTAATTACCCACTTCTGAGTATCAAAAAGTATACTGTTTTTCAAGGATAAACCACAAATTTCAGAAGAACAATCTCCCCTTTACCTAAGTCCCTTTTACATTCCTTTGCTGGGTTTTTGTTTTGTTTTTAAATCAGCTTCTTCATAAAAGATGGTTCTTTTCAAATCAGTTCAAGTTACAGTAGAATAAAACAACCCTGTCTACACACTGGAGTCAACATCAAAACATTTCCATTAATAATAATAGTAAATCTAGTTCAGTGTCTTGTCCTCCTAAAATTCTTCACACGGTCGCCCAATATATCTGGATTATGATAAA